CTATTTTATATTCTATTTATTTCTTGTATATCACTTTCTGACGATATAGATGTTTGAATAGATTCATTATCGTTTTCATCTATATTATTGATACTTTTACCTTTATCTAATTTTTCTAATCTATTGGCTATAGATTTTAAAATTTCATTTTCACCGAATTCAACTTGCCTTGTAATTGGTTTAAGTATTGGGGTTGATACAGATGAAAAGGGATGTTGGGTAGTTTGATTATTTAGAGATAATTTATCACTTTCATTTATTTTATTATCTATGTGATTTACTTGTTTGGATATTGTATGGAGTAACTGACTTTGATAATTATTTTGTTGATATACTGCTTTAATATCTTGTTGTGTTATTAGATTCTTATCATCTTGATTAGCTCCTGTTTTAAAGGGTGAGGCTACGAGTATTCTATCAGGTGTAGTTATTTTTAAATCTTTTAAGGGTGGATGGACTGATCTAATTTTATTACCATCCGATAATTCCCATATTTGACTTAAAGATGCACTAGTATTTATTGATTTAAATGGATAATTAATATTATGAGAGATTGCATAAGTTTCGAACCAAGTGAAAAATGGAATATCTATCTCTTTTATTGGCATAAAGTTATACCAATCTTGTCTAAATTCAATTGTTTGTTGCTTAGAAAATGTCTTCAAATACCAATTTCTTTTTTCTTCATTTTCTTTTGAATAGAAATCTTTTCTAATATATTGTTTATTAATTGTATATTCTTTTAATATTACATTAATAGATTTAAAATCTGATGGAGTAGGTGATGTTGGACATCTTAGTTGAGTAGGTTCAGCTATTGGAGCATTAAATTTAATTTGATTATCTTGTTGAATATTTTGATTTACACTTTCTGTATCAGAATCTGTACTAGGTTGATTATTACGATATTCGGAAAATGAGGCTCTTGAATTTGAATAATAAGAGTTAATTCTTGGGGGAAGTGGTTCTCTAAATGATCCGAATTGTAATAATATTTTACCATCTCTTTGTTTGAATATTCTTGAAATATTTCTTTGTTCAAAATTTCTAGGGGGTTGTGTAATTTCTATTTTCCATTGATCTGGAATAGTTATTTCATTCCATTTTAATTGCTTAGGTGTGTAAGTAGCAGTAGGAGTATCTTTACTATGAACTGCTAATATTGTCGTTTCTCCTTTATCATCTTGTAATAAGCATCTTGGATTAAATTCAGAAGTTGATTGTTTAAAGTAAATTCGATAAAGTAATAAATAACCATGTCTCTCGTTTTGAAATTTCATTTCTGGTAAATGAACATTTAATACTAAAGTATTCAATATAGTTGGATCGGGTAAGCTAACTTGATAATTCGGGGCACAATTAAAGTACACTGCTCCGTTGCATAAGTTTGATTGTACAGCTCCTAATAAGGAGTCTTCATATTTTAATAAGGTTTTGTCTCGTAGTAACATGAGTATAGGTGAATCTATACCCGTTCTTGATAATGGTTTGATAGCAATTTGTATAAGTCCAAAATAAATATAATTAAATCCTTTTTGTTTATATTTGTCTAAGGCGAGTGATGATAATAATTTTATCTCTTCAAATTCATTTTGAAGAGACAAGGTTTGCTCATGCTCTTTTATTGAATATGCCGTTTTAAAATCAAATGTTCCAATTTGATATATATTGTCTGGATTAATATGTGGTAATTGATCCTTTGTTAATTCTTGATTAAAGGATGTTATTTTTGACATTATTTCTCTTGAATTAATTGTTGTATGCGACGAAGATACAGATGCATGTTTCGACTTAAAAAACTTTCTAAACGAGGACGCCATGATTTATACAAAATTTAAACTCATGAGAAGAGACTTACCGATTCTAGTTGATCACTGCTGCTGCCTTGCCAACGGACTCACTGCCTCTCTTAGGTCTTGCTGCCTGGAACACCCTCAGCTTCGTGGTCTCATAGATTGGAAAGGTCTTTTCTAAAGGTTTGATTTTGTCAAAATCACGAAATCCTTGTTTTTAAAACTTTTTAAGAAAACTTTGCAAAATCTGCAATGGTTTTGTTAAAGATTGTTTTGGCTCTGATACCATTAAATCCGTATTACTTTATTAAATCCGTACTACTTCTTCCTAGTTGGACAAGAAGGTGCTCTTTAACGGAACAGGAGTTCCTAGAGATGTACTTTGATCTGAGTCTGGATTTTTTCGCCTGAGGAATAAATAAGACTGCAATCTGATGAAAATCTTGTTTTATTAAATTTTTTTAAATACAAAGTTTGATGAGAATATAAAGCTTGAAACTTAAAAACTTAAAAGCTTGTACAAAGAGTTTTTTAGAGAGAGAAAGAAGAAAGTTGCAAAAATTGCTCGTGTCTTGAATGTCTTCCCAAGATGAGTATTTATAGAGGGGAAAGCAAGGTCTTGAGTCTTGATAGGTGTTGTCTTCTAATTGGTGCCGACATAGTCCTGCTAGGTGTCTTCATTTGAGAGGTGCCGACACTTTGCTATGGAATCTTGACTTGGTTGCCAACTTGTTGCGTAAGTCTTCATTCTTCTAGAAGGTGGGTCCTACTTGGGGTCCACCGGTCTTGTCTTGTTGGTTTGCATACGACTCTTTTAGAATATCTTGATATTTAGAGTACATCTTAAACAGATATACTCTGTATTTTATTTTAAACTTTATTTAAAAATATGTATTCCGCACGTACCGCAGTTGGATTTTTCTTACACATACCACAGTTGAATTCTCCCGCACGTACCGCAGTTAAACCGTACCGTACTTTAAAACCGCTTTTCCCGCATAACCAAATACGCCGTCACCATTCGGACCCTTAGTAACAATGCTAAATGGTCGTCACAACAACAAGAAAATTGTTCCGATCGGGCTAGGCATCATTTTGTAAAATAACGAGGCTCTAGAGAATAATGTTCATGAATGTAAAACGATATTTTTAATAAAATGCATCTTGAAAATTCTAGTACACTGTGTTTCAAAACGGTGTGCATTTTTAGTTCAAACTCACTTTACATTTTTGAATACATCGTTTACAAGTTTGAATTTTAAAATTTTGAGAAAAAATGTAAATTTTATTAATAGTACATACTTTAATAAAACATGATATACTACACTATGTTTTCAATACATGATCATTGGAGTTTCTGTAGTGTTTTTTTTTTTCTTTTTCTAACAAATTGTTAATATACTATTATATTAATAAATTTTCTGAAGTGTCTTTTTTTTCTTTTTTCTAACAAATTGTTAATATACTTTAAACTCTTGTAGTTTTTTAAAGTTAACCGTGGTCTAAATACTTTTAAGATGAAGCATTAGCATTAGAATCTTCACAGTTCCACAATTCAAAATCTTTTTTGAACTATGAAGCATTAGAACCTTCATAGTTCAAAATACTTTTAAGATGATTTAATTTTTTAACTATGCAAAAACTTATACAATTCTGAATAATTTTTAGCTTAGACTATCTCCATTAATGAACTCTTATTTAAGGTTCATAAAACTTTATTATTTTTTTTTGTGAACAGTAACAAACTCCAAATTAAAATTTTATTCCATTGAGGATGCGAAGTGCATGAGTATTGAGGATGCGAAGCGCATGGGTATAGAAGACGCGATGCGCGTCAGGAGACTGGACGTTCACTTCACCAGGGAGGACGGGAGGCGTGTCAGTAGGGTGGACGGGAGACACGTTAGTAGGGAGGCCGCATGAAACACTGTTGAAAACTTCCATTAGTGACTCGGTCAGAAATATATGGAGCGATTCAGTTATATCCGAAGCTAGGGACCCCATCTAACGCCTTTATGAGTCACAGAACGAGCGCTTCCGTGAATCGTGGAACGAGCGCCTCTGTAAGCCGTGGTAAGACGATGAAAACCCCCGCTCGTTCTGGTTTTCAAATAGTTATAGCTTCCTCATAAAAAGAGATTTTGAAATTTATAAGAGATCTTATTAACTTTTTTGCTTAGTAAATTTTAATTTATTTTAAAACTTTATAAAAACCAGTATAAGATCTTATAAAAAAGTTACATTTTTTGAATACATCGTTTACAAGTTTGAATTTTAAAGTTTTGAGAAAAAATGAAAATTTATTAATAGTAAACACTTTGATAAAACATGATATACTGCACTATATATGTTTTCAATACATGATCATTGGAGTTTCTGAAGTGTTTTTTTTTTCTTTTTCTAACAAATTGTTAATATACTATTCTATTAAAAAAAATTTCTGAAGTGTTTTTTTCTTTTTCTAACAAATTGTTAATATACTTTAAACTCTTGTAGTTATTTAAAGTTAACAGTGGTCTATCTTAAACTACTTTTAAGATGAAGCATTAGCATTAGAACTTTCACAGTTCCACAGTTCAAAATCTCTTTTGAACTATGAAGCATTAGAATATTCATAGTTCAAAATACTTTTAACATGACTTAATTCTTTAACTATGCAAAAACTTATACAATTCTGAATAATTTTTAGCTTAGACCATCTCCATCATTTGGGATTCATAAAACTTTTTTATTAATTTTTTTTTTGTTTTGTGAACAGTAACAAACTCCAAATTAAAACCTTCCTTCATTAATGAACCCCATTTAGGGGTTCTTAAGATTAATATATAAAAAATATGTAATTTAATTTTAATCATAATTTTAAACATTGAAAATTTAAAATTGACAATTCAAATTGCATTACATAAAACATAATTCATATATTGCTTACAAGAGTTCAACGGTTTTTACATTGTTTTTCTGTGTGTTGTTATTCTCGTGATGGGATACTGAAGCTAATATTTTGAGCAGGTTTTTTTTACTTGGTGGTACTGGCTTGTTGATAATTGGTGTATGATCGCTATTCAAAGCAGGATTCTTTGTAGAAAAGCTAATTGTTTTGTATTTGGATTTGATCATTTCGTAATAGATAGATGCTACTTGATGTTGTTATTGTTGGTATTGTAAATCTATGTGATGCGAGAAATGAAAGTTTGTGCATTTGTAAGAACATGAGCCAAATCTTTGAGTACAACAAATCAAGTCAGCTCAACACACACAAAACAAGGCTGAAGATAGTGAGCCAAGGAGAGAACCTTATGTTGGGACTAACTATTCGGAGTCAGAATCTGAAATAGCGCTCTGCCTTACGCTCCTCTTAGTTTGTGTTGTAGGCTTTGGTTTACGAGATGACTCTCCCTCGTAATGGATCACTTGAGCTCTACCTAATCTCTCTTCAAGATCCTCTGTGCTGAAATCGTCTTTCCCTCCCAGCTCATTGAAACCAACCTATCAAACAAAAAACCATTAAAGTCCATCATCATGTTCTAAAAGGATTCTTGTTCAGCGTTGTTATACCATACCACATAATCATCAACTTTAGTGTTCTTGATGAGGGCAAGTGTTGGAAGAACAACAATCTTGAGCCTCTCAGCCAAGAACGGACTTTTCTCAGCTTGGATCTTCACAAAACGTGTCTCAATGTGTTCCTTTGCCAATATACTCATGTGCTTATCCATCACCTGCAAATACAAAACACTCTTTAATCTTAGCTATGAGAACAAGAAGCACCAATTTTACGATCCTAACATCATCAAGATCATACATTGACCTAAACCCAACAAATCCAAACAAATCAAACCAAAAGGAGATAACTTGAAACTCCAATACACAAAGAAAGGGAAACTTTCAGAGAAGAGGGTGTGGAAATGGATACTTTACAAGGCCAATTCTCGCGGTAGAAGTGGCAGACGACGCGTTGGCTGGCTTTGACGACGGAGAAGAAGTCTTTCTCCGAATGGATCTCGGAGTACTCGCCGTGTCCATGGCTCATCCAACGTTTCCTTTTCTCAGCCATTTTCTTCATCTGCTGCAGCCTTCTCTCCCTTAGAACCTCCAGATCGTCCTCGTCGAGCTTTTCGAGAGACGCGATCTCTTCGTCGAGCTTATCCTCCATAACTTTTGCCACCGTCAAAACCTGCTTCTCCACAATCTGCCATCGAACAAATCACGAAATCCAAAATTAGGTGAGAAAAATTATCAACCCATCGCAATTCAAAGCCGGATCAATTTCGAAATTGTACCTCTTGTATAGGATTATCCATTGTTAAACTCCGGCGAGATATGTTGCAATACGAAATGGAGATTCTAATTCGAGACAGAGACAGAGAACGAGATTTTTGCAATTGGTAGGGATAATGCAGAGAAAAAGGAGAACTAAGATTTGAATTTTGGGGCTACTAGGTGTATTTATTTTGTTTTGGGGCGAGATTTACATTTTAAAGTTATACGATGACTGAAAAAGAATTTTAACAAAAATGTTATAAACAGTCTTTCTAAGTCTAGTCTCGATTTAGGGTTTTAGAGTTGAGTTCCTCTCAGAGAAATTTTTTTCCTCCGAAGCTTCAGAGAGATTTCAAACGTCGGCAACAATGGCGAGCACGAAAGTACAACGCATCATGACCCAACCGATCGTACGTTTCCTTGCATCTTCTCTGTTTCATCTGTGTATTGTTTCGACTACTCTGTCTCTCTATTCTTTTACTGAATTTTTCTTTGTTTTCCGGTGGTTTCGCGCGGCTCCAGAACTTGATTTTTAGGTTTCTTCAAAGTGTAAGCTCGTTAACCTCTCTTCATTCTGAGTTTATTATGGATTTTCGTGGTTTTGGTTATTAATGCTATCTTCTGATTCGTGCTCTCGTCTTCTGTACTTGTGATGCAGAAAGCTAGGATCCAGATTTGGCTATTTGAGCAGAAAGATCTGAGGATTGAAGGAAGAATTACTGTAAGTCACCATATTTTATTTTTCGCTATAAATTGTTCTGATAATAGAGCTTCATAAGCATGGATTGGTGATTACATCAGCACTGTGACTGTCCTTTGTAATTTCTAAATTGTTGCATTAGTTTCCGGAAGTTGAATAGGTGAACTTAAGTTTAGTTTTAGCCATGGAATCGCAGGTGGATTGTTGACATTGTTTTGGTATTTGTCACTGTTGCTACTGCACAGAGCACTGATAAGATCTTGTTTGATTTTTTAGGGTTAGTCCACGCTTTATCCTGACTCAGACTGCAGTTTGTGTTGCTATACTTTTATTCTTCTCAAGTTATGGTTGTAGCTGTTCTTATATTGACTCTGTGCTATTTCAGAGAAACTTGAGATGTATGATTCTGTCGTTCTCAAGTCTCATTTTTCTACTTGAATTTGGATTCCCCTTGTTACAATTTTTACTGCTATGGTTTATTCTTCTCGAGTTAAAGATTGAGTCGTTTCTTAGACTCTGTGCTAATTCAGAGAAACTTGAGGTGTATGATCGTGTCATTCTCATTGGTTTAACACTTGGATTTGCTTACTTGACTTTGGATGTTCCTTGTTTCAGTTTGTATTGCTATACTTTTATTTGTTATCGAGTTAAGAGACGAGCTTTTCTTTGATTTACTCTCTGCTAATTCAGATATGCTGGTGTCATCCTCATTGGTTTGAAACTTGGGAGTTGCAATCTTGACTTGGATGTTCCTTGTTTCAATTTGTATTGCTATACTTTTATTCTTCTCTAGTTAAGGTTGAACTTTTTCATAGGTCTATGTTAAATTCGGAGGAACTTGAGATTTGTGATTATGACAATCTCGTCGGTTTTAAAACTTGGAGTCTGTCTACTTTTATGGATGTATCATTGATTTCTTGTTTCATTTTTGTCCCTTTTTGCAGGGTTTTGACGAATACATGAATCTAGTGTTAGATGAAGCTGAAGAAGTGAGCATCAAGAAGAACACAAGGAAACCACTTGGTGAGTTTATCCCGCACTCACTCTTTGATAGCAAGTCTCATTATTACATGTCTTTATTTGTTTGCTTATGGTTTCAATAACTCGGTATAAATACCTATTTTCAGGAAGGATTCTACTAAAAGGAGACAACATAACTCTGATGATGAACACGTAAGTAAACACAATCCTTACTTTGTCCTTTCTCTTTATGATGTAGCAACTTGGTTTGTCACTTAACTAGAAATTTGAACACAATCCATTTCTATGTTAACAGGGGAAAGTGATGTCTGTCTCAACAAACAAACTCTGTGGTGGATTTGTAGATCCGATATTAAAATTAACCTTTTGGTTTGATGTAATGTTGAGTTTTCATTACTTAAGAGGATAAAGGTTGAATTGTTTCATAGTTCATTAAGATGATTGATTTTTGCTGCAACTTTTCAGTTGACTTATGAAGTTATGATTTAGTGATTTACTCAAAACATTGAAAAATAAATCCATTTGATCTAAGTTCGAATTCGGTCTGTATCAATGTAATATGTTTGGTAAACCGACCGGATTGGCACTTCCCAGGCTCAAATGGATTTTGAAATAAACTAATCTAATAGACCAATCAGAATAATCTGTTGAAATACTGAAGGATATTTATTTAATGTTATTTTAATACAAAAGTTACCTTTGGAATCTAATACAACATAAAACTATAGAAATCTAATCGAACATAAACTTTAACCATTGCAATTACATTATTTAAATTCATGTAATTTATATAATCCATGTTGAATTTTATAACAAATGCTGAATCTTATCCCTAAACTTCCCATTCGTGATATATGGTGATGTGTTTTGCACTTTTATAATCGTGTAAAAAAATTAATAATTGGTCTTATTATACACAAAACTCCAAAGTATTATTTTTTAATTGTCAACTTTAGAATATAGCATGTGCTAAAAATACAAACACTAGCCGCCGGCCCAAGAATGTCGACCAATAAAGGAACAGCAAAGTGGCGGCAATTCAAGCTTACCGTGGTCTTGCTCGCACCAGATACTTATCTTAATTGACTAAAACCAGTCAAAGTACTCGACTAATCACAAAACGAAGACAAGTGCTCGAAGTAAATTAATCTGATCTTAACTACAGAAGAAGCTTTTTTTTGTTTTTGTTTTTGTTCTATCCAACCAAACACCATTTCTGAGGTATTTTTGTTTTGTTTCTTTCTCTCTCCTTCTAATCGAAAAGTTTCTGTTTCTCCTTCCGTTAATTTCCCGCAACGTTTGTGAAGAAGCTCAAGTAGAAATCAGAGATCTTGCTTTTGCTTCGTTTGGTTTTCTGTGGTAATTGTTTGATTTCGAGATTAAACGAAAAAAGGGAGACTTGAGAGCTGGATTTGTGATTCTTTCTCTAAGCTTATCATTCGTTTGAAACTGATTTTTGTTGTATTGATCTTACAGATCGGAGATTTTGTGTGGGGTAAAGAAAAATGCAGACGAGGTATATGGAGAGGACTAATAGTATGAGAGAAAAGAGAAAATTGGAGGAAGATAATAATCAGCAGCAGCCGGAGCGTAAAAGGCCTGCTCTTGCAAGGTAATCACTTACAAACCCTTCTAATTTGTTTGTATAAAGTTTAGATTTTTAGCTTGTCAAATCTACTATTGATTGAAGGGAAATGGGATTTTGAAATTTGAGAAAGTTATGTGTATTTTTGTGTTGTTTTTGCAGTGTAATTGTGGAGGCACTTAAGATGGATAGTTTACAGAGGCTTTGCTCGTCTTTGGAACCGATTCTTCGCCGAGTGGTAAGCTTTTAAAGGCGTTTTGTTCATGTCTTTACTTGTGATGTCCCTGGATTTTTTTAACTTATTTGTCTTGTGAGCATTGTTAAACAGGTAAGCGAAGAAGTGGAGCGGGCATTGGCGAAACTCGGCCCTGCAAGACTTAGTGAAAGGTAACATAAGACATTTCTAAGGGGAATAAAAAGCATATAACGAATGGTTGGAGTAATGGCTTGTGTGTTTACAGGTCTTCTCCTAAACGAATCGAAGGCGTAGGAGGAAGGAATCTGCAGCTGCAATTCAGGTCTAGATTGTCTGTTCCTTTGTTCACGGGAGGGAAGATAGAAGGGGAGCAAGGTGCTGCAATCCATGTTGTGCTTTTGGATGTTACTACAGGGCATGTATTGACCGTAGGACCTGAAGCTTCTGCAAAGCTCGACGTTGTTGTGCTTGACGGTGATTTCAACAACGAAGATGACGAAGGATGGAGTGGAGAAGAGTTTGATGGTCATTTGGTGAAAGAGCGTCAAGGGAAAAGGCCTCTCTTGACCGGTGACTTGCAGGTTACGTTGAAAGAAGGTGTGGGGACATTAGGGGAGCTTATCTTTACAGATAACTCGAGCTGGATAAGATGCAGAAAGTTCAGGCTTGGTTTAAAGGTCTCTTCTGGTTACTGTGAAGGGATTCGTGTACGCGAGGCAAAGACAGAAGCTTTTACCGTCAAGGACCATCGTGGAGAGTGTAAGTTCTCTCCTTTCTCTTGTCCTGATTTATGGAGTCACATTCGCTTAATGATTTATTTTTGCAACAGTGTACAAGAAACATTACCCGCCTGCTTTGGATGATGAGGTCTGGAGGCTGGAAAAGATTGGAAAGGACGGGGCTTTCCATAAGAAACTGAATAAAGCAGGGATCTACAGTGTCAAAGAATTCCTGCGTCTTATGGTCAAGGATTCACAGAAACTACGGACTGTAAGTGCACGAAACTCATGTTCCAGTATCTTGTCAAGATGTTTGAAATAACTTGTTCCTTGATGACTCTTACTCTGATTGTTCAGATTCTTGGGAGTGGCATGTCGAACAGGATGTGGGAGACACTTGCAGAGCATTCAAAGACATGTGTCTTGAGTGAAATGCTTTACGTCTACTACCCTGAGGACTCGGTTGGTGTTGTTTTCAACAATATTTACGAGTTTAGTGGTCTTATCTCAGGGAAGCAGTATTATCCTGCTGATTCTCTCTCTGACAACCAAAAGGTTTGTCTTTTGTTTTGGCCTTCTGTGTATTTTATAGATTTACACTTGGTGAAAATTTGTAAACTGATGAAAATAAACGGCAGGGTTACGTCGATGGATTGGTGAGGAAAGCTTATGAAAACTGGGATCAAGTTATAGAGTATGACAGCAAGTCACTCATGAACTTCAATCAAGTTAACAAAACAGATGCTTTAGATTACTCTATCCCAGTTTCAGTTCCAAGCCAAGCGTCTACATCATATTCTGACTTAACTGGTGAAGGTATGATTTAGCCACAACAATCAGATCTTATTTTCGTCTCTAGGTGTTTAAAACTAAGTCATTGGTGTGTTTTTTCCAGCATCAGTGTACAACCAGTCTCAGCTTGGTGCTGATACTAGTTCTTACATGCACTTTGGAAACAACTCATTTGCAACGCAAGAGCAGCTAATCAACAACGCTCATGGATCACAAAGCAACGGTGTTGGTGCGAGATTGGCGCTGTGTCCACCAACAGGATCACAAAGCCAACAAATGGTTCAGCCTCCTCCTGAGATGAACTCTTTCAACAGTGATTGGTCCAACACAGGAAACGGGTTTCTTTCAGAGGAAGAGATTAGAGCTAGAAGTAATGAAATGCTGGAGAATGATGATATGCAGCAACTGTTGAGACTCTTTAGCATGAGTGGTGGTGAGCAACAACAAACAACTCCGATGAACTTGTCGGAAGACGGGTTTGGGTTCCACTCTTTTGGTCAATCTTCAATGGCTGATTACGAAGAGGACCGTTCGAACTCGGGTAAGCCTGTTGTGGGATGGCTAAAGATCAAAGCAGCCATGAGATGGGGCTTCTTCATCAGAAGGAAAGCTGCTCAGAGACGCGCACAGATTGTTGAGCTTGATGATGATGAATAGGTTTTTTTAGGAAGAAACAGGATTGTCTTTGGAGTTTCTTTCTGATGGTGGTTGTTAATAAGCTCCCAAAAAAAAAAGATGAAATCTTTTGTTTTTGGTTTCATTCTTATCCTAGTGGAGCTTCATTTTGTACAGTAAAAGCTTTGTTCTTGCTTTTGTGCTTTGCTTGTTTATGACTTTATGTAATGTAATCTCTGCTTAATCAGATTTTCGGTAAAAAAACTTAAAAACCTGATGTAATTCTATTTGTTTAATTTTTTCTGTTGTGTGTTTTTGGCAAGATTAATAATAAGGGAAAAATGTCAAAAAATACTTTATTTATTTAATTTTTGGAAAAATTACATACAAATTTTTAGTGTTGCTAAAAACCCACGCAAACTATTTTTTCATATATTTAAAAATTCTATTTTCCCCCTCTCATATCATGGCTGTTAATGGACATAACAGAATCAATAAACAGCGTTAATTTTTTATAGGAAAAAATGCTAAAAATACCCAACTATTTAATTTTGTCAGAAACCCACACAAACTTTTTGCATTGTCAGAAATCCACACATGTTATTTTTTAATCTAGAAAAATACCCAAATTTTTTAAAGTTTCATTTTTCCTCCTCAAGTTTCACGGTCGTTATGTTAGTTTTTTGTAACACGTGCTAACTACTCTAGGATTGATATCATTGTTACCCTTAGAAAATCCTCAAATCGATTTGGGGAAGAAAAATCTACACCCTAATTTTTCTCTCTTTTTTAGAAATTGGGTGAAATAGGTTGTAAAATATGGTTGATAATATAAATTGAATCAGAAATAGTGTGTGTTGTGATATATAAGACTAATAAGAGCAATTCGAGGAGATGATGTATATGTTCTAAACATGATTTATTGCTTTATTAACCACATTTTCAACGGATTTCACTCAATTTCTGAAATAGTGAGAAAACAAAAATTAGAATTTAGGTTTTTCTTTTTAAAGGTAATAATGGTATTAATTTGACACTAATTAACACATGTTATGAAAAATTAACGCAATTTTTCGATTCTGTTATGTCTATAATGACTGTGAAACTTGAGAAGGGAAAATAGTATTTTAAAAAGTTTGTGTATTTTTATAGATTTAAAAAAATATTTTGTGTGGATTTCTGGCAATGGCAATGTAAAAAGTTTGTGTGGGTTTCTGGCAAAATTAAATAGTTGATGTATTTTTTTAGCATTTTTTCCTACAAAAAATTAACGCTGTTTATTGATTCTGTTTGTTAACGACTGTGAAATCAGAGGGGAAAATGAAACTTTAAAAAAACTGATGTATTTTTATGCATCGAAAAAATAATTTGTGTGAGTTTCTGACAACGCTAAAAATTCGTATATAATTCTTCTAAAAATTAAATAAATGAGGTATTTTTTGGCATTTTTCCTCTAATAATAATATAATTAATGTGTACATATATGGAAAGTTGGAAACATTTAGACTTACTATATCCAATTTAAGTCTGTGTTTAAATTTTAAATTATGTCAAATGCGAAAAATACTTACAAGTATAATTGCAAGAAAAGATTTAATTAGTAAGAAACTACACCAATATACATTTACCCTCTTTTTTATGAATAGGATATATTTAACAATATTCAATAAATTGGTAAAAAAAAAGGAACCTATATATATATTAATAGTTTCAAAATATACAACCAAGCCCTATTTCATCTTCTGACGAGAACAGATTCGCCGTCCTCGTCGCCTCCATCGCCGCCGCATCCATCTTCGTCGTCCTCGTCGCCTCCATCTCCGTCGCATCCATCTTCGTCGTTCTTCTCAATAGTGAGCTCGTACTCTCTATTACGTTTTTTTCTTCTTTTCGGGTGTACCCTCCAAGCTTTTCCTTGATCTGGGTTTAAAATTCCTCTTCTATCTGCTCAAATTCTTCTGTTTCCTTGTTGTTTTTGATATCGATTTCGCAACTATATTGGAGAAATTTCTGCCAATCAAGACAAAACCAGTGTCGACGGACCTTTTCATTTTTTTTTTTTTGTGGATTCTAAGAAATCTGAACATTGTGCTTTTCCTTTGAGGAATTTTTTTATAGAGATTGCTCACGATCTGTTCGTTGAAATGATTGAAAGAAGATGAGTTGCTTTGCTAATTGGTCCTCCGAGTTTAATTGTTGGTAATTGTTATGTTTTGAAGGCAGAAGAAGTGAAAGCCAGGAATAAAAGGACTTGGAAGATTCGAAATCTGCAGTGTTTTGTATATAGTTGACAACGTGATTTAATGGAGGAAGACGAGGATAGGTTTTTGTTGAGTAGCTTAGGTGTGACATCGGCAAATCCTGCAGATATAGAACAGACGATACTCGATGAGGTAGTTTTGGTCTTTCTTTTATTGTGTTTGGTATTACTGCTGCATTGTTGATTCTCACGAAAAGGGTTTTAGATTATCTCTGAGTGCTTATTTGCTGATCTTTAGAATTTATGAAAATTAAATCTAAAGGTGTTTTCGTTATGTGATATGAAGTCTATACATATATGTCAGGCGACAAAGCAGCTAGATGACAATGAGGGTGCGAGTGTGGAGGAGCAGTCTATCGAGCCGGAAGGAAGCAGATTGCTTCCGTCCAGCCATAACGAGCTTTTGAACAAATTGAGGGCTGTAAAGTTTGAAATAGATGCTGTTGCATCAACTGTTGAGCATGTGGAAGAGGATGCAGCAGAAAATGGCTTACAGAAAGATGATGGATCAGATGTTCATAGTGGTTCTGTACTTCAGCACGCGCTTGCCACAGACCGTCTAAGAAGCCTTAATAAGAGGAAAATTCAGCTTGAAAAGGAACTTAGTGGTTCACATGGTTGGAGCGCTTCTGGTAGTGCTGATCGCGATAATCTACTGCGAGATCTGGTGAAAGAAGAGCCTAGTCTCAAGAGAAAATTGAAAGAGATTCAGAAACCAAGCAAAAGAGAAGGGAAGAAGGTGAAAGTAGTCTCATTTCATGAGGACACAGATTTTGATGCTGTTTTCGATGCAGCTTCCGCAGGTTTTGTTGAAACGGTATGACCATCTGTCTTCTAAAGGTCTTATTCAGTTCACATAAGATTATGCTCTTAATACCTGGGTGTGGAAAATGTGTATGCAAATGTAGAAACCTTATGAATGAAAGACAGTGACTAAGTCAAGACTATTCTTGTCTAGGAAAGAGATGAATTGGTGAGAAAAGGAATCTTGACTCCTTTTCACAAGCTCGAGGGATTTGAACGCCGACTTCAACAACCTGGACCGTCGAACTCGGACAACGTACCTGAAAGAGAAGAAGAAAATGACATAAATGAGGACTCCGGCAGTATTGATAGAGCTGTCCAATCAATGTCGCTTGCTGCAAAAGCTCGCCCGACAACCAAGCTACTTGACGCAGAAGACTTGCCAAAGCTTGAAGCGCCCTCTGCTCCATTTAGAAGGCTAAGAAGGCTTTACAAGACTCATGATCCCCCAGATAATGAAGTAAAGAAAAGCAAAGCTGGGAAGAAGAGCAAAAAGAAGCGGCCTTTGCCTGAGAGGAAATGGACAAAGCAAATTGCTCACGAAGACTCTAGTCTTCAAGAAAGAGGTATGAATGATGATATTGAAAATTAAACATGTTTACAGATTGTTATTGGGACCTGTGAGTTCAATGTCTAGTAATTGGAGCGAATGCTTTTGGAAAAATTAAAGGCCGTGATATTGATCTGCCGACGTTTGGATATTACATTTTACCTATTGCATTGCTTTGAAATGATAAGTCTCAACAGTTTCTACCGTTATTTACAAGTTATCATGTTGATTTTCATTGCAATGTTTCAGAAGATGGAAGGAGAGTCTTGCCCACTTCCAGTTGTGAGGAAGACGAGCTAGATGATGTTGATGATGCAGAAGACAACGAGACATCTTCTGTACAGCTTGAAGGTGGATTAAACATTCCTGAATGTATATTTAGTAAACTTTTTGATTATCAAAGAGTTGGGGTGCAATGGCTTTGGGAACTTCATTGCCAAAAGGCTGGTGGCATTATCGGGGACGAGATGGGTCTTGGTAAAACTGTGCAGGTCTTATCTTTTCTCGGATCCTTACATTTCAGTAAGATGTACAAGCCGAGTATTGTCATATGTCCTGTTACACTCTTGCGTCAATGGAGAAGAGAAGCACAAAAATGGTACCCCAATTTTCACGTGGAAATACTCCATGACTCAGCACAAGATTCGGGGTATGCCAGAGGAGTAGGGAAGGCCTCTGAAAGTGATTATGACAGTGAGGGTTCAGTTCACAGTGATCATGAACAAAAGTCTAAGAACACCAAGAAATGGGATTCTTTGATAAACAGGGTTCTAAATTCCGAGTCGGGGCTCCTCATCACCACATATGAGCAATTAAGGCTGCAGGGTGAGAAGCTGCTCAATATTGAGTGGGGTTATGCGGTACTAGACGAAGGCCATCGGATCCGGAACCCAAATGCTGAAATTACTCTGGTGTGCAAACAGTTACAGACCGTCCATCGAATTATTATGAGTGGGGCACCAATCCAGAATAAACTAACAGAACTCTGGTCCTTGTTCGATTTTGTTTTCCCGGGAAAACTGGGGGTCCTGCCCGTGTTTGAGGCAGAGTTTTCTGTTCCCATAACTGTGGGTGGCTACGCCAATGCTTCTCCCTTGCAAGTATCGACTGCCTATAGGTACATTTCCCTGTCTTTCTTTTGAATCACTTAGGTAACTCGTCACAGTTTGTGTTGTAACCATTTTGAAAATGTGTAGGTGTGCAGTTGTTCTTCGTGATTTGATCATGCCGTACCTCCTCCGCCGCATGAAGACTGATGTGAACGCACATCTGACAAAAAAGACTGAACACGTTCTCTTTTGCAGCCTCACTGTGGAGCAGCGGTCTACCTACAGGGCGTTTCTTGCGAGCTCCGAGGTAGAACAGATTTTGGAGGGAAACAAGAATTCGCTTTATGGGATTGATGTGATGCGTAAGATATGCAACCACCCTGATCTTCTTGAGAGAGAACATTCTCACCAGAACCCAGATTATGGGAACCCAGAACGCAGTGGGAAGCTGAAGGTTGTTGCAGAAGTGCTCAAGGTCTGGAAACAGCAAAAACACCGTGTACTTCTGTTTTCACAGACTCAGCAAATGCTTGACATTCTCGAGAGCTTCTTGGTTGGAAATGAGTATAGTTACCGGAGGATGGATGGTCTCACACCGGTGAAACAGAGGATGGCTTTGATTGATGAGTTTAATAACTCAGATGATGTGTTTGTTTTTATTCTGACGACGAAGGTGGGTGGTTTGGGAACAAACTTGACTGGTGCGGATAGGGTCATCATCTTTGACCCGGATTGGAACCCCTCAAATGATATGCAAGTAAGCTTTGCTTCTGAATGTCACAGATCCAGTTTATGTACCTGCAGACGATTTAAATGGTTTTTTTTTTTTCTTTCTGAAAGGCAAGGGAACGTGCTTGGCGTATAGGGCAGAAGAAGGATGTTACCGTTTACAGATTGATCACGCGAGGGACAATTGAGGAAAAAGTATACCATAGGCAGATTTATAAACATTTTCTCACCAATAAAATCTTGAAGAATCCACAACAGAGAAGGTTCTTCAAAGCCCGTGATATGAAAGATCTTTTCATCTTGAAAGATGATGGTGATAGCAACGCCTCCACGGAAACCTCTAACATCTTCAGCCAGCTGAATGAAGAGATAAACATCGTAGGAGTTCAATCAGAGAAGAAACCCGAATCCGCTACACAACCTGCTCTTCACGATACTGCAGAAGAAGGATCCTCGGAGCAAATAGATGCTGATAAAACTGGCGAGGCCATGGACGAAGAGACGAATATCTTAAAGAGTCTCTTTGACGCACATGGAATACATGTAAGTTCGTTGATTACTGCTTATTGAAGCATTCTTGTCCGACTTAGTACTCTCCCATAATTTCTTCCATTATCTTTTTTACGCAGAGTGCTGTGAATCACGACGCCATAATGAACGCAGACGACAAGGAAGAGAAGATGAGACTTGAGCACCAGGCAGCTCAAGTAGCACAGAGAGCTGCAGAAGCATTACGCCAATCACGGATGCTGCGTAGCCGCGAAAGCATCTCAGTGCCCACATGGACGGGAAAATCTGGTTGCGCAGGTGCACCGTCATCTGTACGTAGGAGATTTGGATCAACTGTCAATTCCCGGTTAACCCAAACCGGAGACAAACCATCAACGATCAAGAACGGAATCAGCGCGGGTTTATCTTCTGGCAAAGCACCGTCTTCTGCAGAGCTTCTGAACAGGATCCGAGGAAACAAAGCACAAGCCGTTGGCTTTGGCCGTGAGCAGCCACCACCGTCGTCGTCTTCTTCTTCGGGTTCATTGCAGCCCGAAGTCTTGATCCGACAGATATGCAGCTTTGTACAGCAAAGAGGCGGAAAGGTGGACACGACCAGCATTGTCAACCATTTCAGGGACCGAGTTTCTTCTGAGGACAAACTCTTGTTTAAGAATCTCTTGAAGGAGATTGCCACGCTTCGGAAAGATGAAAACACTTCGTTTTGGGTCCTCAAATCAGAGTATAAAGACTAAGAAAAGATGTCTCCTTTTAGCCTAACCACAAATGATTCTCATTTTTGTAAACAGTGTACAAGAAAACATTATCCATCGTCGCAATTGCTTTGGATGGTGATGGATTAAGTAGCGTCAACATTTTGTGAATAAGAAAAACGAAAACATTTTTGCAAAGAGCTTCGTAGTTATGTACGTTTTCAATAAAGTTTCGTTGCATTTAGTTCTAATCGATCACTAACCAAAAACTCCATTCGATACGGTTTAGTTATATTTGTACAGTGTCTGACTAAAATACCCTTGACTAATTTCAAAATATACAAACAAACCTATCTTCTCTCTCGTAATCGTCACAATACAAATCTCCATCTTCACGGAGAGAAGAGTTTTTCGCCGTCCATCGCCGTCGTGACCAGGCGTCGGCTTCTGCCGTAATTCTTAGCAGTGAGTTTCTTCTCTATTTTTTTTCCTCTTTCCCGGTGTATTCTCTAAATTTTGGCGTTGTTTTTCTGGATCTAGGTTTTGTTTATCTTTACTTGTTGTTTTTTTTCGATCTTGGTTTTGTAAGCATCTTTGGCAATTGTCCGTCTATCAAGAAAAAAACAGTGTTGGAGCACAAATTTTGCTTTTTTTGGTTGATCGATCGGTGAATTATTTGAACTTTGTCGCGAATTTATTTTGGAAATTCTTTTTCATAATCACGAGAGCTGGAAAATTCGCTGCTCGTGTGAGTAAAATTTATAGACTGCACAAGATCTATTCGTTAAAATGGCTGAAAGAAGCTGTTATCTTTCTAGCTGTTGAGTTGCTTTGCTGATTGATGATAACATTGTTTTGCGTTTTTTATCTTAAGATTTCTGATTGCTCTGCAAATTAACATAATCATCTACTTCTTGTGTTTATGCTTAGGCAAAAGAAGCAAAAGCTGAGAAAAAAAAATGGAGAAGTTGGAGGACTTGAAAATTCTGGCGGAGCAGTGGTTGCATCAAGGAATTGAATTTGTTCAACAAGTGCCACAGACTCCACTTTATGCTTCGATTGTTGTCCTGTTATTAACTACAATCTGGTTCTTATCAAGTAAGTAGCAGACATCACATTCTTCTTCTTATTGATCTTGGTTTTCGAGATTTATATTAGGATGTGGGTATCCCTCTTGTAGGCCTAGAATTTTGGGGTACATAAAACGTCTATACGTATCTTGCATTCTTGTTTGCGGTTGAGGAGTTTGATGTTTTCAAGCCTTGTGATTAATCTTAGAGTGTCAGCTCATTGTAAAGTTGTTTGCTTAGAACGGTTGTTTCAGTTTTTGAGGTCTATGCAATATACCTTCCTTGGATTATACATCAAAAAAGGTTCATTTTTTTTTATTCTGGTTGTTAATGTTGTCACTTTTGCCTGCCTTCTGCAGTTCGCTTGTTCAGACGTGCGAAACCCAATACTGTACTCCTCTGTGGACTTAGCGGAAGTGGCAAAACTGTGCTCTTTTATCAAGTGAGTATTTAAGGTTTACGTTCCTCTTCTCATTCAGAGAATGTTTTCTGGTCAATCCTCACAGTTTTCCTCGTTGGCATTGTAAGATGGTTTGATTTACATTTTCTATTTGTGACAGCTCCGAGATGGATCTTCTCACCAGGGTGCTGTGACGTCAATGGAACCAAACGAAGACACCTTTGTGCTCCACACTGAAAACACTAAGGTAATGAAAGATCTTCACTTTGGTTTTGTTCAAGAATGTTAAAGTGTTTTATGGACTAAACATACATCGCCGTGTGTTTAACAGAGAGGAAAAACAAAACCTGTTCATCTTGTTGATGTTCCTGGGCACTCTCGCCTTAAATCTAAGCTAGAAGAATACTTGCCTCGAGCAGCCGCCATTGTGTTTGTAGTAGATGCACTTGAATTCCTTCCGAACTGCCGTGCAGCTTCAGAGTAATTTAATCACCACATGAGAGTCGCTTTGCTTAGTCATAAGGTGATTCTTAGAGATGGAACACTTTTAAAATCATGGTTTTGTACTTTCTCCAGGTACCTCTACGACGTTCTGACCAATGCGAGCGTTGTTAAGAATAAGGTCCCGGTCCTGCTTTGTTGTAACAAGACAGATAAGGTAACTGCACACACCAAGGAGTTTATCCGCAAACAGATGGAGAAAGAAATGTAAGATTGATTCTTATCTAGCTGTTTCTAAATTCTGAAGATAGTAAGCTCTCATTGATGTTCCTCTTGTTAATAATAATATGTGTTTATGCAGAGAGAAACTTAGGGTTTCGAGGAGCGTGATATCAGCAGCTGATATAACCAATGACTTTACTCTTGGGATTGAAGGAGAATTGTTTTCCTTTTCGCATTGCTTAAACAAAGTCACGGTCGCTGAAGCATCTGGACTAACGGGAGAAACAGATCAAGTACAAGACTTCATCAGAGAATATGTTAAGCCATGAGAGACGAGATGTGTGAGCATCAATCATACACTCTTAAAAAGTCTTTTACTGTATTTTGTACATGAAATTTATGATTTGTGATAGTGATTGTTGGAGGATTTTGTATGTTGAAATCGTGTTAGTGCCTTAGAGAGTTTGTTTATGGACTGGATCTTTTAGCGTTTCAACTTCGTTATGTGAAGATCCTCATGGAACCTTCATCGAATGTTAAGACTATCTCTAGACAAGGCCATTAACTTTGGTCTTTGGGCTACTTGTACGAAGTATTAAGTCATGAACGACTTACTTGAGACCATTAGAAAATTGATTACAAATGACTACTCAATTACCAAATATAAAAAAGGGGAATGTTTAAATTGGGCTGGCAATGATTAGGTTGTAACAGATTAACAATAGCTATTTTTAATGTTTAAGATGTATCGCACTAAAGCTTTGGTTTATGCTCTCCAGGCTGTTCGCTTCTCACATTACCCACACTAAACTCACTCTTTTTCTTTAAGAAAACATTAAAGTAAATTTAAAGACTGAAACAAATAATACCCCATTATGTATACTCTACAAATACCGAACAATCAGAATCAGTTACCTTCAAAGAAGAGACTTCCCAAAAGTGGGAAAGCAAAAATTCCAAAACTTAAAATGGTTTCTCGGACACTTTTTGTTATGCCATTATCTATTTTTGTTTGTTTAAACATATTGCTTGTGGCACACGCTAGCGATTTCAACCAAGACATTGACATAACATGGGGTGATGGTAGAGGAAGTATTTTGAACAATGGTACTCTGATAAATCTCGCTCTTGATCAATCTTCAGGATCAGGGTTTCAATCGAAAGCCGAGTATTTGCACGGAAAATTCGATATGCAGATCAAACTTGTCCCAGGAAATTCCGCAGGGACCGTGACTACCTTCTACGTAAGTTCTTCTTAATTAGCTATATGCATAAGACCCACCAAAATCTACCATTCAGTGTTAACATACGTTAATAGATTTGTATTTTAATTTGGTGTGTAGTTAAAGTCCCAAGGATTGACATGGGACGAAATAGATTTCGAGTTCTTGGGGAATGTTAGTGGAGATCCATACATTCTTCACACTAATGTTTACACTCAAGGCAAAGGTGATAGAGAGCAACAATTCTACCTTTGGTTCGATCCCACAGCTGAGTTCCACAACTATTCTATTCTTTGGAATCCAAGTCACATTGTGTAAGTATATATACCACAATCCATATGATAACTTGATATGTTTCACTAAGTCATGACGTGAAACTTAAATTGTATGTGTGTGTTTAGAAGCCGAACTGAATTTTATTGAATAGTTTATTGGTTTAAACTGTTTAAATTTTAATTAGGTTCTATGTTGATGGGAAGCCAATAAGAGAATTCAAGAATTTAGAAGCAATGGATGTGGCTTATCCAAAGAGCCAACCCATGAGAATGTATGGTAGTTTATGGAACGCAGATGATTGGGCCACGAGGGGAGGTTTGGTCAAGACAAACTGGTCTCAAGGACCATTCGTAGCCTCTTTCATGAACTATAACTCCGACAATGCTTGTGTCTGGTCCATTAATAATGGAACCACGACTACCACTCCTTGTAGCCCCGGTGGCTCGTCTTCTTCTTCTTCTTCGTCGAGAAGGATGGATTCTTCAAGGCAGAAAATTATTAGATGGGTTCAGAGGAAGTTCATGGTTTACAATTATTGCAAGGACAAGAAAAGGTTTTCTCAGGGTTTTCCTGTTGAATGCACAGCCAAGAACAAGAACAAAACATCCTGAGATTCTTTTTGTTTTATCTAATCCTAAAGATTATTGAGTTTGGGGTCTTAACCTAATTATCATGTCCAGATCCAAAACCGATTTCACGCAATTATTTTCCTTGGCCTCAAGAACCAGTCAACAAACTTTCCAATTGGACTATATCTCAATAAAGATTGCAAACCTAATCGATCAATTCAAATTTTGTAATATCCCAATTTCTGAAATATGGTGGTTCTGTCAAAAACTTATATAAAATTTGATTTGACCTATGTTATTAAAGTGAACTTATATTCTCAGTAACTTATCAAAAGAGAAGTATAAAGTTAAATGTTCTTGAACTAGAACAGTTTAAAGATATGTGACCTAACAAGAAATGATTTTAGGTATAATGTGAGCGAGAGCAATTTTAGAAAGGTGACCTACATTACACATAAGTGATATTTGGTATCGTGTCTGTTGATCGTTGATTGTTGGTGCTGAAAATCAAGTCTAACTCGGGTTTAAACCAGGACTGGAAATGTCTAAAGTTGGAAGCTGGTTTAGGTGATTATTGCTTTCAATTAGTTTATGGTTTAGTATAACCGATCTCAGTATTTGTAATTGACACTGGTATATAAGCAGTGCACGCGTGTATCTTCTCCTTCCTTGAGCTGAGTTTAGAACTTGGAAGTGAGAGAGAGATTGTTATAACGGATGTGAAAAGATGAAGCTATAAACGTAAAGAATACGACACAGATTTAACGTGGTTCACCAACGATGTGTTGGCTACCTCCACAGACAAAAGAAACCGATTTATTAAGGGAGACAGAAAGTTCAGAAAACCCTGATGGAGGTTCTGAATCAGAATCGGAATGCATCAGAATTAGGTATAACATAGATATATATAGCTACCTAGTCAAACCCTAATCATATTTGGACCTGCCGTTCAGGCCCACATAACGTCCTTAAGCTGATAGCTTCGGCCCATTACTCAAATCGACAATCTGCAGTAAGCTCCGAAGCTCACATACACCTCCTCTGACAGCTTTGCAACTTACACCTCTTGAAAACAGCTATGCAGCTTACACAATCTGGTAACAGCTTCGCAGCTCACACATTCTGCAAACTCCACCTTCTGCAGTTTGCTGTGTAGCCAGTACCTTCCGCAGATGCCACCTTCTTCAGCTCGCATCTTCCGTAGGTCGCATATTCCACAGGTTGCACCTTACGCAAGTCGCACCTTACGCAAAGTCGCACCTTACGCAAGTCGCACCTTACGTAAATTATACCTTACGCAGGTACCTTCCAAAGGTTGCACCTTCCACTAGTACCTTCTGCAAGTCGCACAATCTGCATTATGCTTTGTAGGTTTGCACCTTCTGCAACTTGCACCTTGTGCAGCTTGTACCTCTACAGCTTGTACCTCTCACAGTCTCAGATTCAAGGCATATTAACAAATCTCCACCTTGACTTGAATCCTCCAAACAGATGTACCAGATGCAGTTCGCACCTTACACAGCTTCAGATTCAAGTCATTCCAACAAATCTCCACCTTGACTTGAATCTTCCAAACAGATGTACCAGATGTACCTTCACGATGCCAGATGTACCAGATTTCTCCTTTGCCCCAGACGTTCCAAAATGCACTTTTACTGTGCCGGATATACTAAACGTCCCTTGTACCAGATATACCTGATGCACGCTTACTGTGCCAGATGTACCAGCAGTCCTCTCTATCATATGTACCAAACGCACCATTATTGTGCCAGATGTACTAGATGCACTCTTCTGGTGCTAAATTTACTTGGTGTTAAATAGGAACAGATATCTCTACAGACCAGATGTCCCTTTGGACCAGATGTCCCGTCGGACCAAACACCCTTGCAGACTAGACGTTATTTCAGACCATACGCCTCTTCGGATTGGACGTTCTTTCAGATCAGACGTCCTTTCGGACCAGACACCCTTCACCAGGCTCAGATGCTCCTATGGAGCCAGATGCTCTTCCAGAGCCAGATGCCCCTCACCGGGCTCAGATGCTCCTCCGAGCCAAACAACTTTCATCGGGTTCAGAGGCTCCTTCGAGCCAATTTTCACTTCGGACCTGCAGTGCATAATTCACCATTTCTTCGGAACCATATACCTCTGTTGATCCAACCTCATTCCTTGTAAGCTGATCATGACAGGTACGATGGTGTATAATCTCAGATGGTGTCAGTTCTGACAAACCAACTTCTATATGTAGCTCTTGACCCTCTTCGTGTAGCTCCGAATCAGTCTCGTCACGACCTATATGCAGCTCCACCTGCATCTGTAGCTTCACCTGCTTGTCAAAGCTACTATTCTCTATAGCAGCTGTGGTTAAAGGTTCATCTTGAAACCTTCTTTCTGAATCAACATTAGAGAACATGCACTTCGCTCTCTGCAGCAGCTTCTGATTCATCTGCTCAGATACACCTTTCGATTGTGATGTATCTGTAACTGCGTGATGTCGAACAACTCCTTCATCCTTGCATAGCTGATTGAGCTCTGATGAACAGAATTTCTCACCTTCCTCTGACAGAATTCGCATCTCCTTTTCACCTATACGAACAAAGCTCTTATGCCACAGCTTTGTCATATCTTTGTGGTGAACTTCTGAAGATGCAATATTCACAGAACATGTAGCTGTGGAATCTTGCAACACATACAACGTACTACGTTTGACACCTTTCAGAATCACATTTGAACCCTTGTAGACCTTTAAAGCTCCACCTTCACCTGAGTACTTGAAACCTTCGCTGTCTAATAGACTCAAAGATATCAAGTTTTTCGTCATTGATGGAACATGTCTAACTTTGTTAAATGTGCAGATATTACCATCATATGTCCTGAGCTTAACTGAACCTATTCCAGCAACCTTACAAATAAGACCATTGGCCATCTCAATGCTGCCATAAGCTACGTTCTCATAATTGGAAAACCACTCCCTCCTTGGACATATATGATAAGACGCTCCAGTATCTAGAACCCGCACCTCAGAGGAACGAGTGTGTCCTTCAGCAACTAGAGCAACATCCTCTTCGGACCTTGTGTCAGCTTCGGCTACAGCAGCAGATTCAGATTGCTTCTTCTTCTTTGGACATTCTGATTTCCAGTGTCCTATCTCTTTACAGTAATTACAGACATCACCTGGTTTAGGACCTTTTGCAAATGACTTCTTCTTGTTCTTCACATATCCATTACCACCGCTGACAAATAGTCCAAATTCTTGACTGTCTGTACCTGTACCAGATGCCTTATGACGCAGCTCCCTGCTGTGAAGAGACGACCTAACTTTCTCCAGTGAAACTGTATCATTACCGACTATGAAGGATTGCACGAAGTTGTTGTATGATAACGGCAGAGATACCAACAGAAGCAAAGCAGCATCCTCATCCTCCACCTTAACATCGATATTACACAGTTCTAGTAATAACATGTTCAACTGATCTAAGTGATCCCTGAGTTGCGTACCTTCCTGCATTCTTAATGCGAATAGGCGTTGTTTCAGAAGCAATTTGTTTGTTAGAGACTTTTTCATGTACGACGTCTCCAACCTCCCCCACAGACCAGCCGCAGTCTTTTCGTTTGCAACCTCGATGATGATATCATCTGCAAGACATAGCAAAATCGTTGAGTATGCTTTGTCCTCCAGACTTGTCTTTTCAGTAGCGTCGCCCTTGTTGTCTTTCGACAGCGCCGCCCACAAGCCATGTTGCTTCAGCAACGCTCGCACCTTAATTTTCCAGAGACTGAATCTGTTCCTCCCTGTGAACTTGTCGATACTCACGTTTAACCCAGACATCTTCTCACCAGATGCGGAAACTCCCAGAACCTGAAGCTCTGATACCAGTTTGTTATAACGGATGTGAAAATATGAAGCTATAAACGTAAAGAATACGACACAGATTTAACGTGGTTTACCAACGATGTGTTGGCTACCTCCACAGACAAAAGAAACCGATTTATTAAGGGAGACAGAAGGTTCAGAAAACCCTGATGGAGGTTCTGAATCAGAATCAGAATGCATCAGAATTAGGTATAACATAGATATATATAGCTACATAGTCAAACCCTAATCATATTTGGACCTGCCGTTCAGGCCCACATAACTTCCTTAAGCTGATAGCTTCGGCCCATTACTCAAACCGACAATCTGCAGTAAGCTCCGAAGCTCACATACACCTCCTCTGACAGCTACGCAACTTACACCTCTTGAAAACAGCTATGGAGCTTACACAATCTGGTAACAGCTTCACAGCTCACACATTCTGCAAACTCCACCTTCTGCAGTTTGCTGTGTAGCCAGCACCTTCCGCAGGTGCCACCTTCTTCAGCTCGCATCTTCCGTAGGTCGCACCTTCCACAGGTTGCACCTTACGCAAGTCGCACCTTATGCAAGTTGCACCTTACGCAAGTCGCACCTTACGCAAGTCGCACCTTACGTAAATCATACCTTACGCAGGTACCTTCCAAAGGTTGCACCTTCCACAAGTACCTTCTGAAAGTCGCACAATCTGCATTATGCTTTGTAGGTTCGCACCTTCTGCAACTTGCACCTTGTGCAGCTTGTACCTCTGCAGCTTGTACCTCTCACAGTCTCAGATTCAAGGCACATTAACAAATCTCCACCTTGACTTGAATCCTCCAAACAGATGTACCAGATGCAGTTCGCACCTTACAAAGCTTCAGATTCAAGTCATTCCAACAGAGATTGTAATTCATCTAGAGATATAGTGAATTACTGTTAGAACCAGGTCGTGACGTAGGGCTATTATTCATTCAGAGGGCATGAACTCGTTAATCGTGTGTGTTTGTTTCTTTCTTGTTCAATCTTTGTTCTCGATTAGATTTGTGTTCGTTATTGGAGAGATTGAGAGTTTTTCGAGATCGTTTCACTTGAGAGGAATCGGATTTAGGCGTAACGAGTGGTATCAGAGCCAGGTTGAAAAGAATCGATGGCGGATGTGAAGTTGACCATCGCGATCTTTGACGGTCAGGGAGATTTCTCGACGTGG